ACATCTTGTTTACGAATGTCTCAACTATATTGTACCAAATAATGGTGTGTAATATGTTTGTGCTATCTATTGAAATTCGCCCTTCTATACTATATGAATTTGTTCTTGCGTTACCTTAGGCAATCGGACCGGTGATTTTGGATGCCTATAGATGTGCCGTGGGAAGCCGCTAGTGGGATAATGGGATTTGGATCTGCCTTGCTTGGTGCCTCGCAGCTGTGTTTGCTGTGCTTGCATAGTAGAAAAGACATGGAGGCAGATGCTGGGGGTGAAGCCGCAGAGAGCTTGATGTCTCTGGCAAGAAGGTTGCTTCCCGATTGCAGCATCCTGTCAATGCGTGCTTTGCTCAAGATACGAGTCGTTCCTAGAAGAAGCTAGTTCTAAGGTCAATTTAATATTAAGATGTATTTACAGGAAAAATCATATTTCCTTTCACCAGCCTATCAACATCTTTTCACCAGCCCCACAAGACTTGACTAGCTTAGCCTACAGTCGTCTAAAGCCAATCCCAATGAAATAGTAGATACCTGAAATTTATTATATAAGCTTGAAGCTTCGTTTCCTATGAAAGGACATAACTCATCTACTTTTTCTATGATGGGACAAACACACGTCTGAACATACAACGTGTTCAGATTATGGACATGCAATACGTCCAAGATTTATATGTCCAAAATGTGAACATCAACAATGACTCGTCTTGGGGACCAGATTTTGAACATATATAATGAATTGTAGTTCTGCTGGATGTGGACACGTATGATGATTTATCTTGTGAGTCGGATTGTGGTGAATATATGTATGTCAGGATTATGCTGAGCTGTCTTCTGGTCATTGAATTGGACCCCTGTGAAACTGTGCAGGAAACATCCGTTGTCAACTTGGTGTGCACCACTTCTGCAAGTTGTATCTTGGCTGCCTGTACATGTTGATAAGCCCTTGAAGTATTTTATGGAGTATATAATGTGATGTACCTTATGCTCGGGGCAAGCTCTATATAAGAGAGCTAATGGATGGGTTTCTTTGTGGACAATAGGTATTAGAGGGCTTCAAGATTCATGGCCTTCCATCTATTCCTAATCAGTTGACTCCGCACCTGTCTATGGAGGCTTCTTTAAACCCTAAACCCTAAACCCTAAACTAGGTCAATATTAGTGGCTAACATCATGAAGCACCACCACTCCCCCGCCGCCGCCACCATCACCACTGGTATGTAACTTAAACTTCCATTTCAAACAGGTCAAAGAACCATGAGATTTCCGAGTTCCATGGCACATGAAGATGTGTCCATCAAAGGATCTTAATTGCACAATGGGAGACCTACTTTCAGGTCAATACTTGTGATGAGAATGTTAAGCTTTTGCTTATTAAGAAAAAGCTTGGTACCTATGCTTACTCTTGGTGGCAGAATCTACAAAAGGCAAGGACCGCACCCATGACTTTGGGCTGTTTTTCTTCCTTATTCTGCTCGGCTTTTGTGTGTAAACATGAGGCGGTGGACGAGTGGTTCTCTTGCACACAAGGTACTTTATCGGCTCAGCAGTATGCTCAACGTTATCACGATCTTCTACTAAACTCGCTGAATCCATCCCTGAGTTCCTGCAAGTCTAACAATTTATTTTCGGTTTGGCGTGATGGAGTGTGAGATGAAGTGAAGCGAAATCCATCAACCACACTTGCTGAAGCTGAAGAACTCGCTGTTATTTTTGTTGAGAGTGTTCTCGTATGATCTCTATTCTCAATTAGATCATAAGAAGAGCATTAAGCACTCATATGAGCATCGTTTCTCTAGCCGATCTGCTAGAACTCCACACTCAATTAATGGTTTTAATGGTTCTTCTCATGTGGTATAGAAAAATGATGCTAACTATGCAAGTAAGCAGTCTAAGTCGAGTTCGAGACTGATCGTGCTTCACTCTGGGCTGATAATCGTGCACTTCATCAATGTTACAGTTGTTATGATCTTGGACATCTTTTGAAGGATTGTCCTTTGAAGATACTGTTTTGAGTGCAGATGTCAGAGGTCCTCAAATTCCTTCTATCCCTTTTAATTTACTAAGCATTATCTTTTTTGAAATGGAGATAGAAGATATCGCTTTAGTTTTGTAAATATAAACAAAGAAATGCTTTTCTTTTTCTTTTTTGCTATCTAAGAATTGAACCTTACCTTTCTCTTTTTAAGAATATAGATCTATATAAGATCACTTTATACTCTACAAAGAGGTTCAAGGTTTTTTATTTTTATATTCTGGAAACCAAACATTAAAACATTTGATTTTAGAAAAAAAAAACTAGTTGCTACTTTGAAAAAGAGTACCTACTAGTGCTTGGCAAGAGTGTAGAGAAAACCATGAATGGTCAAGAACTGCTGGAAATCTGAAAGTGAGTATTGTGTTAAGTAAGCTCTTTCTGTCCACAACAAAACATCAAGGGGAGTATCCAAAGTGACCATTTAAGGTACAGGAAGAGGAGAGGTCCTAGTTGGGTGAAACCGGACTGTAAACAGTTAGTATTTAGATGGTAAGGCAAGTAAAGTATAAATCTCACTCTTGTGTCACACATTAAGGTCTATATATATACATATCATAGCAAAGCTTAAAGATAAGTTTGGTGGAATTCTTACAAAACCACCAGCTTATGAACCAAAATTAACCAATTATAAAATTATGATAAATAAATTTCAATTTTGTGTTGTAATGCTCGAATCAACCCCTAAACCTCCATTCATAAACTTATTCTTCTATCCCTTCACACTCATACTAGTAGAGTTGAGAAGTTAATTATTTTTCTTTGTTAAATTTACATCTGCATTAATTTTGTGTTTAATTTATATTCCAGCCATTGTTGTGTTTCAATTAACTCTTCCTTTGATATTTATTGCATTTTTTTATGCCACACCATTGGTCTTGATCAATAAATGTATCATTAAAGGCTGTAGATGTTATTCCATTGTCCTCATCTAGCAATATTATTTCTACTACTGTATCATATTTAGTGAGCATTTAGACATGATATAGAGTGTGATCAAGTTTAATGTTGCATCGCTTCTGTAAGATATGATTATAGTGTTAATCCTATTTTTGGTATTTTGCTAGTGGAGAGCAATTTTTGAAATTAACTAAAGAGCAATGGATGACATAATTAAATTCTTAGAGAATATTTAAAGATTAACTTGTGAGAGTATAATATTTATGAGCTCAAATAAGTATTCAAGTTTTTAAAGATATATTTTAAGATAGAGGTGGAGATTTCATGCGTCAGAAATTAATTTATAAATCAGTATACCATGTGATCCATTTTCTTTGCCCATCCTCTCCACCAATATGATTACGTGAGTGCTTGGGATATGAGAATATATATTAAACTCCCTGAAATGGATGGACTAAAGGTGGATAATACTAAGATTAAAGTAGTTACATCCTAGTATTATATATATGTAATTATAGACCATATATAACTAAGATCTCAAAAAAAAAATTCAACTCACACCATCATGCCATCTAAATATGCAAATTTAAATATTTGAACCTCACCAGTAGAAATCCAGCCAAAAGAGCGAATTTATTTCTTCATGACACCAATTTTCTTCCTTAAATCAAGCTCCCTTACTCCAAGTTTCAAACATCTCTAAGTCATGTTTGGTGAAGTTGCTATTAAAAACGAAGCAAATAATTAACTTCAAAGCCAAGCAATAGGTCCCTTTTTAGTCCTTCTAGCAGCTCTTGTAGCCATGGGAAATTCTCAAGTGATTCCTGTTTAAGTGATTTTTGTCTTCGGATTGTTTGTTTAATTAATTTGTATATATCTAGGATTGCAGTAAGGGTATTTACGGGTAACAGACCAGCAGGAAGCACTGCCAAAATTACACTTGTCCTCTACAACGACGGAAGCATCGCCCAAAATCTCACTTGAGCCCTCCTGCAAAAATTGTTGACTCTCCTTTTCTTATTATTTTTCACAATGCATATAACAGGTTTTAGGCAATGTGATCTTAGTGGTCCAGAAAGACCTTTCCAAGATGCTTACCAGGAGGATCTTTTCAACAAGAGGGCCGGGTGCATCACAAATGCTTGTGCCTACAGTTCATTCTTGAAGGACAGCGGGATGTTTTTCACAGCATGGAATGTGAGCAGTGCACAAGTTGGATTTTTGTCAACTGGAAATGGCCTAATTATAATTGATGCTCCCAGAATCAACAAACTGTTGGTGGTGCAAGCAAGTGCAACATCTTTGGCGCCGGCAATATCTAAAATATATGGAAGCTGCGCTTGAGAAGTCTGCCTGTGAAGATGAAGGAAAATGAAAATGATGGGATGTTAATGTCGTTAAGGACCAGTAAGAAACAACTTCATAAGTTAGTGGTCTCAGTTTTTACTATATCATACGGAATATTCTGGTTTAGGGTTTAGGGTTTAGGGTTTAGTTTTCCCAGAACTTTAGAAAATTAAGAGAGAGTATGCTACAAATGTATTTTCCAAATAGGCTCATGTCCACTGCTTTCTTCAGCAACAATGTCACCATCCTCATGCAAACCCCCTTTTTCTCTCTTCCATTATCTGAGTTATCTTGTGTAGCTCGTTGTTGAGCTTTTGATCCTTGTTTTGCTGCCATGTCTTTCTTCCATCTTGCATCTTAACACCAAATTGATAAGCGGCTTTTGGAGTGGCTTCTTTCTGGTCGTTGTATTTAGACCATTCTTCTTCTGTCTCAAAGTCCCAGCGATGCAATCTTCCTTTAGCCTGGAGAATGAAGAACACAGTTAAAAGTAAACAAGATAAAGAAATCCTCCATTGCCACCGACGTCCATTTTCGTGAGATCCACGTCTTCATCACTGTCAACTATCTCTCTGTTGTACTCCTGGTATCCTGGGTAACACTCCGAGTAGCTCTCTGACACGAAGTTTGGATCTTTCTCGCGAGAATCAAGCTCCCTTCGCTGACGGAGCCTTTGATCGTCCTTCCAGATGACATTTAATGCTGAACCAATAAAAAACTGCCACATGGACATTGTATTGTGAGTGAAATCTGCCACAGTAACACTCACCCTTTTACGAATTGCACGCCATAAAAAAATCTTTAAGCTTTTTGAAAGAGTCGCGATGGTTCCAATGCGTGGCAGGATTTCCATAAGATTTTTGAATGAATTTTGTTTGTACACCTTTCCAGAAGTTATTTTTTTGCACAAGTGTGCAGCTGGAGATTGGCCTTTATTTCTTTCTGGGTGGCTTTCTCTATTCAGCATGTGGGATTGGCCGGCAAGGACTTCAGCAGAAGCAATCTCTCGCGCCCAATCTCTCGCTGCCCCCCCCCTCCTCCGCGGCGCAGGAGCGATGGCGGATCGTCTGCGCGCCAGGAGAATCTGTCCAATGCGGACTTCCGACGGATGGTCATGGAGACGCCACGGCGAGCTCCACCGGATGAGAGCTCTAAGGAGCAGCGCCCTAAAAAGTAAGTGTTAAGCTGCATTCCACAGGAGAACAGTCTTAAATGGATTTTCGATCCAGGAAGAATGCCGATGAGAGTGCAAAGCGTCCTCCTCGAAAGTTTCGGGCCGCCCAAGCCCAAAGACAATGAGTAAGCATTTTTCTCGCTTTCCGTTTGCTTACGCGACTTCATTGATATAGAGAGGAAAAAAAGCCGACGACGATCGAAGACATTAATTTGCCGAAGTATCGTGACCGTGCTAAAGAGCGACGCGAGGATCAAAATCCAGACTACGAACTTATGGCTGCCGCATCAGGAATTAGCAGCTTACACGCCGTAGCTCCTCCGGGAGCTGTCGATTTACAGTCAAGTAATCTGTTCTTACGTAGAATTTTCTTTTTCATGGTGGTGTGTTGTTATCCCGCAGGGCAGCTGAAAGAAGATATCCATAGCCAATAGCAAGTATCTTGGAGGTGAGTTTCACAGTTCCTTAAAATACTGCTTTTATGAACTGGTTTTGGTACAGGTGATGTCGAGCACACGCATCTGGTGAAGGGGCTGGACTACGCTCTCCTAAACAAAGTCCGGAGTGAGATTGATAAGAAACCAGAAGAATTTGAGCAGCAGGCTGAGGAAGAAATAAGGTGCAAAACTTCAATTTTGGTTTGCGTTTTCTCAGAGTACGTTTTTATTCAGGGTCCCAATAAAGTTCAATTCTCCAGCTGCGAGGGTAAAATCCTAGTTCGCTGTGAAGTTGTTCTAACCTTGAAAGAGTTCTCGCATTTTCTCAGGTGGTATACAAATGGTTGGTCAAGCCTCCAACTTCGAGCAAAACAAACGACATGTTTCTTCCGGGTATGGCCTTTGCATTTGACATGGTAAGCCTTAAATTTATTTGGTGGATATCTAAAGTTTTCCGGAAATTCCAGGAAGAAATGACACACCATATTCCTACCATTGTGTACCGAAGCAAGGATGACTGTCCTACACCCGAGGTAAGCAAGAAGATAAGTGAGAGTTGTATTTACAGTGTTTTCCTTTCGATTTCACGCAGGAATTTGTGACTGTGGGAGTGGACATGGTTGTCTTAGATAGAATATCCAAAATCATGGCTTATTTGAAGCTGGGAGCTTCCAGTAAGGTGAGAGAGCTCGTTTGTTTTTTGTCTTAGCTAAAATCTCTAAGAGTTTCTTTATTTCCCAGGCCTCAAAGAAAAAGAGAAGAGACAAATCCAACTCGTAAAGTACGTTTTTTTTCATTCACTCTAAGAAGTTTCGGCCGACACTTGTTTGGCTTTCTCCAGGCACTGTAAAAGAAGAAGCGGCGGCACCACCGGTTGACGTCAAACAACCAGCGATGAGTGATGGTGATGAAGCAAAGGATATCGACACTAGCACCGTCGAAGAGGAAGCACCAAAGGCTCGAGTCGTTGAAGACGACATATTTGCAGACGCTGGTACAGAGTACGTAGTAACCATGAACGGCAGTCCTTGATCCGAGGATATGGAGGAGTCTCCACGACGGGATGGAAATGGTGGCGATTCACACTTTCAGGAGCAAAGATCACATGAAGACTGGGAACAGGCAAGCATTCTAGCTATCAGTTCTGGAAGACACCTGACTGGTTTTTCTTTACCTTCCAGGCTCCAGCGCAAGGTCCTGCGATGCCTCAGTGCGGTAGTGAGTGGCAATATTATCTTCCTTCTACTCCCGACGATCCTTCCTACGAATACTACGCCAATCAGCTTAGCGTGGAAGGAAATGCAAGCGTTCCAGCAGCAGCCATTGCTCCTGCTCCTGCAAAGGATCCTCGCTTCATGACGCAGGAAGAGAAGGACAGAGGCATGAGTTCGGTTTTCTGGCATCTATGTATAGCCCATTGTTCATATTATAATCGACCCATTGGGCCAGCATCCATGGGGTATCCATGAGGCACATATCGGTTTAAGAGACGCTTCCTTGCCTTACTGCCCTGCTTTAGTGCTCTGTTGTTCTATGCTCTGTAGAATCTGTTCTTGGCTATGGTGTAAGGGATATTTCGGGTGGTATGGAGAGCTGCGGAGCTGCTAGGGATTGATAGCAATGGCCGCAATCACAGCTTCGGATTCCAGTGTTCTGGAGCAATTCCATCACTTGTCATTGCCTTCTCCCCTGCGTTGCCATCCAGCTCGTCCCCGGCAGCTCCAGCTTGGCGACCTCCATCCTCAAGAATCGCAGTGCAAGATGGAGGAAGCAAGAGGATTCAACAATTGCCTAGACGCCGCGGCGGGTAACAATGGGAGCATCGATGGTTGCGAGCAGCACAGCGGCAGTTGGCAATGTGGGGAGGACACGGCGATGGCCGTCGATGACAATCAAGGCTGCCACACTCCCAAATTCTAGATGGAGTTAGATGGAGTTCACTTACGCTTGCTATGACACTGAGGTGTGCCAGAAAAGGATAATTCTTCTTCTTTTGCCATGAGCGCCAAGAGCAAGATGTGAGAACATAGTGCTCTAGATAAAGTAGTATGGTATGCAATTTAGTCGATTGTCCATTTGGTTTGCAACATTAACAACTGCTGGAATGCATGGGATGAATGGGTCTATGGCCCATGAATGGCTCCATTCCATACATAGCATGGGTCATTGCTATGGGCATGATGCCCCATCCAGGGCATAAGGATTGGATATTCGTAAAATATTCTATGCTTGTGTTTTTCTCACACTCATAATACACGTGGACCAATAACAGGCATACACGTGGTGTGAGTGAAATCCACCATTGTAAAATCCACCCTTTTACGAATTGCACGCTATATTTTTCCTTCCAATAATAAGTTTGGCCAAATGTACTGGAAAGGTATTTTCTTCATGTAAATGATAACCGTGCACTAACTAAACTGAGGGTGATTTCACAGTGCTGTCCAACTGCATCGAAGAGCCTGAGTCTTAATGCCAATGACCATTCTAACTTGCTTATTTTACCACCGTTAATATGCCGGCCGAGTGTTAGCACTAGGTTTCTATTGGAAGCCTACCAACAAAGCACCACATATAAAATGTAATAATATGCTGCTCCTTAATTAATCTGTCAAATATGTCACTTCAATTGTAAACAAAAATTAATCTAATTAGAATATACTAGATTATAAGTTATAAATATGTTTGGGGAAATTATAAAATTGACATATATCTAAATCATATAAAATTTTATATTTAGAAGTATCCAAGTATATCCTAGATATATCCACTCTACTCCATTATAAAATATAAGTAAAAATTGAATGCATAAAAAGATCATTCTCAATAAAATTGTAGATATAGGAACATTTTATGATAAAATAATTTTATTTTATTTCTTTTAGTCAGCAACGCTTACATTGCTTGGTTATTTATTATAATCTTGGATGGATGGAGCCACAAAGTTGCTTTGCTTGATCATGCTCATTCTTTGAAAACACTCAAAATTCCTTTGCCCACAGCAATCAAGGCAATTGATTATGATCATTAATGTAGAAACCTATCTTATTGAAGGCATTGTACAACTTCTCCCCACTGACTGTGCTCCCAACAAAAGGCATACACCCCAGTGTATTGGTAGGGATAAGTAGAAATACACTTGTTAATAATTGGGCTAATAGATGTTGGATTATTCTGGAATTTGAATTGATAAGCAACTAAATTTTGTAGAGTAAATTTATTTTAAGATGGATCACACATGAGCAAGATAGATACACTGTGAAAATTAACATTTGTTGCTCGAGAAATTTTTGGGACTTTTATATAAGAGATGTCCTAGACATTTAGCCTCTAGAGGAAAACCATCTCCATTTTGAAATTGATCAGAAAGTTAAGTGCTTACTCCTAAAAGTGATTGATAGGCCAATTTATAAAGGGAATATATTGCATACTAAAACCTTGTACCACTCACTCCACAAACGAGGCATAATAACTAGGCTTGCCATAATAGCAACACCAACTGACCTTGAAATAAGTAGGCATAGACTAACAATTGATTTTACCTATAAATCTTTAGAGAGCATAGTTCTTATGCATAAAACTATCACTATTTATACCAAACAAGGTGATAGATATACAATATTTCCCTTCACAATCTAATGAATAAAAAGCAATCTAAAAAAAAGTATTCACAAGATCTAGAACGAGTTTATAGAGCACTTGCTCATGATATCCATGATCTTAACCTCCTTTCAAAATGGATTAAATTGCTCAATCAAGCTAGAGAAAAGTTTAAAAAAGAGTGAGCTGAAAACATATTAGGTACACTTTAATGAAAAGGAAATCATGACTTTGATGGTCATCCAGAATACGGGAATCCATATGCTACTCGGCAGTATTGGCACATAGAAAACACCTCTACTTCAGCTGAGAGTAATGAAACACAAAACAACTAGAGTGATTCCCCACAAAAGGAAGAAGAGCTAAATTTACAACTGTAGTACACATGGTTTTTACCCTTTATCTTATGGTGATTTATCATAAGATAATCACAAAGCGGAACTGTAAGTGATTAAATTTGCCATTCTACTTTAATCACTTAACCACACTTCCAACCACTTAAAGAAGTCTCACTCACAACCTCCATAAGTCATATTTTGGACTTAGGGCTTGCTAGCCCCAAACATGCATCCATGCCACTCAACCTTTACATTTGGTCCAAATGCTTCACAAATCCAATCCCATGACCATCACCCAAAGGTACCATCGACATATCAGCCCGTTATGCTAATGCCATACCCATTCACTTTTGTCACATGGTGATCCAACACTACCTACATCACAATCCAGTTTTTCAAATACTAGACCATTCATCCATAAGTGATCATTTTAGATTCACTCCTTAGCATCCTTAGGATGCCCATAGACATAGGGAACAACCTTCTCTAATATCCCTTTTTTGGTCCTCACTAAGTCCCTTTCTGTCTATGGCCCTATTTGCCAATACTGCCACTGGGTCAAGGCTCACAGGCTTGACCATTAAGTCCCACTATCCTTTGGGACTTTTTCACTATGTGATTGCATCCTTGGTCACTACATTAAAGGATTGCTCTTCTTCCTCTCCACAATTTAGGATTTTAGGATAACATTTTGGAACACCATAGCCCTATACGAGCCTCATAGGTATTCTCCTTACCTTTTGCATTTGGGTGCTATAGCCATGGGGCTAGAGTGAAGTTCTGTTAAGCCATGCCAAGTATCCAAGTAGGTAGTGCCACCCCCACTTGGACTAGGAGCATCAACCATTCGATCTCTTAGGGGAACTAGAGTCGGCTCTTGAACTCTTCATCAAGTTACCCCACTTGTCAGTTCGTATTCACTCTAACTTTGAACTCCTCTGTCTCAATGGATATATCATCACCCAACACATAGGTTGGTCACATTTTTGGAACCCCTTGCAGCCCCCCCCCCCCCCCTTCCTTGGGGGGGCGATTGCTTTGGGCTTTCACCCAATAGCATATATTAGTATTCGAACTCGAACTCGGTCTCAGTCTTGGTTCTATCTCAAACTCTATTTCGGACTCCATTTTAAGTCCATCTTGGACTCTATCTCAGGTCCATCTCGGACTCCATCTTAAGTCCATTTCGGACTCCATCCCGGGTCCATCTCGGACTCCATCTTAGACTCTATTTCGGGTCCATCTCAGACCCAGATTGCTCTAAGTTTAAGCTTGTTTAAGTTTTCTAGTTTAGCAACTCTTTGCTTAAGACCTTTTTTTCGTCTAGGCCATTTTTAATTGTGATATGCAAAAAGGGAATTATAAATTCCATAAGCGGTAAAGCTTCCTGGCCATAAGTAAGACAAAATAGTGTCATGCCTGTGATTACTTTATATGCAATCCTATAAACCCACAAAGCATCTAGGATTTACTTGTCTTAATCTTTTTTATTGTCGTTTACAATCTTTTTTAAGATATTCTTAAGCACTTTGTTAATAGATCCAACCTGGCCATTCCCTTACGGGTAATATAACATGGACTTTTTGTGCTTGAGGATAAATTCTTGTATAAAAATTTCTATTGTTTCATTGATGAAATGGGTGCCTTTATCTATGATGATTTCTTTGGGCAAACCAAATCTTACAATGATGTTTTCATAAAAGAATTTGGTAGTGTTAGCAGCTGTGGCCTATTTCATAAGCATAGTTTCTATTCATTTTGTCAAGACCCCCAACAAAATCAAGATTGGAAAATGTAGAAGACAAAGAGAAAAGCTAGTGGAAACGAAGGAGACACTTTAGACTGGCATTGATTTAGATTGTGGAGAAATGGAACAAGGTTAACCTATATATACTATAGGTTGATGATGCTCCACCACTCTTGGATCGAGGACGGCCTAGATATAGCTGAGGTCGACGAGGCACCACGTCATCATCAGGAATGTGGTTCGAGACTTAGGAATCATATGGGAAATCAGAGAGTCAAGAATAGGGAAGTGTCTTGAGAGTTAGGAATGTGGTCTACAGGTCAGGAATCTGGCAAGAGTCAGGAATGTGGCAAGAATTGGGGGATTCCTGACAACACCCCCTCCTCAAGAACAAGTGGAATGAGGATGTGAATGAGAACAAAGAGGAGGATGAGATGGGCGGGGAGGGACGGGAGATGGAGAATGAAAAGAATGAGGACTGGGATGAGAAGGATAGCAGCGGTGGAAGTCCTGAATAAGGTCAGGAGAATGAATTAGGTTGTCCGCAGGTTCCCAAGTGCGTTCCTCAGCTCCGTAACCCTTCTAGTCTACAAGATAGTAAAGTTTAGACCGTGAGATCTTGGAATCAAGGATGTCCTGAACCTCATACTCAGACCCATCCTCGAGCTACACTAGTGGAGGCAGAGGAATGACCGAATTTGGAATAGAACTAGGAATATAAGGTGTAAGCTCCTGAGTTTGGACTTTCCGGGAGGTCACCCAGCCTAGTACTATTCAAACCCAAGGATGCTTAACTCCACTATCCCAAGACCCTTAACCTTTGGAAAAGGGGGTGCACTCTTGTTCATGGGCCCTTTCCCTCTATATTTGAACCCCTATGGATCGTCTCTTAAGTTGTTCTCTTTGGTTGCTTACAATCCACCACGCTTCCCTGCAAGTTCAAGCCCTCGTGAACGGAAGCTGAGAGCCCCAGCTCTCCCGAGAGCCCTGCTCTCTTGACACCCTACCCCTTGGGTCGAGCCCAGCAGGAGCAAACTGGACCAGCCAGATGTCAATCAACATGTGGTGTGATTCCCCTAGCCAACCAACAGAGTCGGACACGAGACTGCTCCGATACCAAATGTAAGCTCCTGAGTTTGGACTTCCCGGGAGGTCACCTAGCCCAGTACTATTCAAACCCAAGGACGCTTAACTCCACTATCCCAAGACCCTTAACCAATTGGAAAAGGGGGTGCACTTTTGTTCATGGGCCCTTTCCCTCTATATTTGAACCTGTAAGCCACAAATTTTTCCTTTCCAATTTGCTAGCTTACCTCGTCTATCCGTCCAACACTGCCTTGGCTTTTGCTAAGTTCCCTTGCCAAGGTTCTCGCCTATGGTACCAGCTCCT